CAACACACTCAGCTGTGTAATAAGATTAAACCAATTAATACGGGGAATCATGTTGAATCACACTGTGCGACAGACAGATCATGGTACAGCAATCCAAAACAGTTCATGTGTGCAAAACAGAGCAAAGCAAACAAAAACGACAGACCTACAAATGACCCTAACCACTCACTGTGAGATGCCGCTCAAATTGTTGTTAAAACGTTGGGTGACGTACACAAACACACGCAGATAGACAGACAGACAGTCTAACGAGCTTCAAAGAAAACGCAAAAGAACCTGAAAAACATCGATCGAACGAGCGAAAATGGCAAGCAGTGAGTAGCAGATCGATCCATCTGGTCAAGCAACATAGGGCTGAGATGTCTCAGAACTTCATCAATCGATCATGACTGATTATCAATCATGAATAAAGGTCACGAAACACAATCTTTAGTATTACGGGGGTCAAGAACAGATTCATTTTGATTGCAGATGACGTTTGTGGTCATCCGGGGAATGCATCGGTGGAGACGCGCAAAAAACCAAGTACGATTTAGTAAGGAGAAAAAACGGACTTTGATTAGCGCGATCGAGTGAATCATCGTGACACGGTCCGCTAGAAACACTCTACACCGGCTTCTCATCTGGTGGTAAGCAGCTCTGCTGTCATCCGATTCAATACCACGCCTAACCTATCGGGGCCTTATGTGGTTCACCACTCCAAGTCCCGCGGGGCTTGGGTTACCGGCATCCATCACTGAACAACAGGATACTCGTGACTATGGGGTTAGCCCCGTCTGCTGTTCACCACACTTAGGTGTGTAACAGAAAAACAATATGCAATTGTCAGTTTAAAAAAAACATATACAAATGACCAATTCCGAGGCCCGTAAGCCGAGACCGTGGATGAGAACGCTTCTTGTTTTACAATGCCGAAAACAAGTGTGAGACTGTGACCTTGCAACCTGACGATCACCTGATGAACCAGGTCCACCTTCGTACTACTTATTGATCTCCGTAAACGAGATCACGAATAGATCCACTCAGAGTCCGGAGTGTGTATAACTTTTAGGGGAAATAAATAAAGTTCAGGACACCAAACAGAACCCGTGCTAAATCATACATCCGGCAGTGTTATGTTAGAGGACCACACGAACTAACAGACACTTTCAGAGGTGTGCAGTTTACCGCCACAGGAAAGAGTTTCAGATCCACAATCAATGACATCTAATCTCCCGCCTTTATACGGAGTAGTAAGTGAAATTTTAGCCTCTATGAATAGGAGTACTCTGGAAAAAGGACGGTGTCTATTCCAATCTTTCGCTTACGATTGAATAAACAGGTGTACAGGCACCCATCAAAAAGGGGATACAGAGGTTTGCAATACAAGGCAAAGGGAGAAAATTAGTGATTGCGAGATTCGAACACATGACCAACATCATTAGATCGCCGAGCGGCTGTTGGTTTAACCAAATTGAAGGTGACAATCGATGAAAGTTGGTAACCAAGGGTAAAATAAATANGTAACCAAGGGTAAAATAAATAAAAACGTCACCTACTGTGTGTGCTGTCAAACCCTTTAAATTAAGAACCAATTATCCTACACCACTACTCACAAGTAAGTGTGAGTCAAACTTAAATTAAGAACGATACTTTCAAACAGATATTAAAGGCAATGTCTTTTTTAGCTGGTGGTTAATCAAATGGGAACAGGTGAACTTCATATTGAGATGACAGAAGGATAAAGGCAAAAGAAACCAAAACCAATGGGAAGTATTCTTCGGCAAACAGTAAGGACGCATGATTTAATGCACNAGCACTATGATTACTGAGCGCGCCGCAGCGAGCATGCATGACGTAAAGACTAGGTCAAAAACCTGAAAGTTCCGATAGAAATGAGTTGCCGGTGGTGACGGACCACATAACTAGACCGGATAGTTAGTTGCAGTTCGTATAGGGAGAAAAACAAAAGACTCGAAAGCAAAAAGAAAGGTTCACGGACGGTTGCTTCTGACTGATCCAGGCTTGATCCTCTATTCGAAACGCTCCTCTCAGCATAGGCAAAAAAATGAAACAGATAGGATAGGAAATACTAGGACGGGCAAATTTACCTTGTGCTTCTGCAGGAAATCATTCGTGATGGACCACGGTGCGTCCGTGATCACCTCATCCACGTAACGACAATGACGCACCGCTTCGTACCGCTCGGTCTCGTTCATCACTGTGCGTCCCTTCAGACGATGCAGATCCGCATCGTTCGAGACTGGGATGGCCACCGGTCAGCATCAGTACGTGAACAGAGTATTTTGGTGATGCAAGAACAGATAAGAAACAGGGGGAAATCACAGAACGCGAATTGTCGAACGATGCCAGTGTGATAAGGTTCACTAAATCATAACGTTTACTTTCGGCAGGCGCCAACACAGAATTGCAGTAAACTTTGAGGATTCATTCTTTCGGATTGAAAAGTGGGAACGGAAGGCCTAGTCAGACAAATAGGTCGCTGAAAACCAGTTGCCAGCGAGTTACAAAGAGTTTAACCGCAATATGTGGTGCAGTGCTCGAAGCTTCTCGGTCTTTCACAATCATGAGATTCATCATAAATCTGCATATATGTTGTTTACGTAATTGGAATGGACTCTGTGCGGAGAGAGCTGGTTGGCAGCTATTTGGTGTTCGGACTCCGTTGTTCTCACCATGTCTAACTGCGCAGACACCCGGACGAGTAATTGCAGGATTAAACAAGGTGTATCAGACAGCTATGGTTGGGCAGAAACCTTATATACGCGTGATTATCAGTGCACATTTCGGTCGGTTGGTATGTGTCCCCGGACCGGGGTGTAATGCATACCATGGAAAAGTCAAAGACAAAGTTTTATTATGGGAGATACTTACAAGCGGTTGTTTTCCTAGTCCCATAGGAATTGGCACAGACGAATCGGTTTACAGTTCATACAAAGTGGATGAATACCACAATTTGTCTTTTTTTCGTGCGCTTCTACGGATGTTGAAATTTAGGACTTTTCAAAGCTTCATCCAGTTCGTGCTTGAATGAATCAACTGTGGGCGCAGAAACGTGTGGTGGTATAGAATTCCAAGTAATGCACACTCCGAGGGCGAANCGCCGGCATTCTAGTCGGCATTTTTGGAGCACTAATTTGAATGAGTGCCCCCGCAGGAGTGTTTGGCGACAAGGAAAAGAGTGGACGACATGAATGGTCTGGGTTCTGCATTATTTGGTATACCACGATCAAGTCTCCTCGAATGCGGCGACACTGTGTGGAGTACAGTTGCAGTGCTTCCAGTCTTTCGGCATAACTCTTGGAATGCAGTCCTTTGATCATTTTGGTGGTCATTCTTTATGGACGTTCCAGAATCTTTTGATTGCGTTGCAGCCATGGATTCCATGCTTGAATGGCGTACTCTGTGTGGGGTCGAATGTAGGCTGATAACAATCTTGGGAACAGCGTAGGTTCAAAGTTGCGAAATACTCGTTTTAGCAAACCAAAATATCTTACAGCGGTAGACGACACCCGGAAGCAGTTTAAAGAACAGCTTAGGTTGTCTTGAACAATGACGCCGAGATCCTCCTCATTCGAGACGTACGGAAGTTGTTGATCTCCTAGGAAATACGGAAACCGTGTTTTGTGTCGAAGGGATACAATCGTACATCTCGTTGCATTAAATTCCATGTCATTTTCGATCGACCATTGATAAGCAGCATTAAGGGTTCTTTGGAGTTCCAGCGAGTCCTCTGGTTTTGTCACCATTTTCCATAGTTTTGCATCGTCTGTAAGCATTAATGTATGCGACTGAAGGTCAAAGATGATCAGAATATCAATTTTTTTATTACACACCTAGGTGTGATCAACAGCAGACGGGGTAAACCCCATAGTCCCAAGGACCTGCTGTTCAGTGATTGAAATCGGCAACCTAAGCCCCGGAACTTGGAGTGGCGAACCACATAAGGCCCCGCACTAGGTTAGGCGTGGTATTGAACCGGGCGACAGCAGAGCTGCCTACCACCAAAGTCGGGTGGCGGTGGCGGGGCTCGAACCTCGGACCATAGGGTCCAAAGCACGCCGGTGACAGCGACTAAACCACTACGCCACCACCACCACATTAGGATTAGGATTTCGAATTCCTGACTCGGGGGCTTGTTCGAACAGGTCGAGATGGGCTTGGTTACTAGGAAACGGTGGATCAACCGAATCAATGGTAAAAGACAAGGAGCGTAGGGGTAGATCGTGGTAAACAGTGACACTCGTGCGCTCACTCATCTTCTTTGCCTATTGACTTCCGTAATCTTCAGGGAAGTTCTACTGCGGTTCAAGAAGTTAATTTCTGCATTGGTCAGCCAAATCGGTCGCCTGTATATTCATCGATCAAAATCAGCGTGAACTGGGCCAGAAGTGAAACGCACCGCTGGACGGTAGCCGAAATTTCGACCGCCATTGGTATTACGCTACGATCTCCGTAATCGCCTTGTGAAACCATGAAAAAGGAGGCACTCATCGAGAGTCCTCAAGGAAAAATTGGTTCGACACCTTAAACCATGGAGAACACTGTCTCCTGTTTCCAGAAAATCATAATCGGATATACCTGAGAAGTTTTACAACCAGGCGCTATCGAGGGACGAGGACAGCGTGCAAAACCGGAATCGCTCAGATCCGAGATCTGAAGGGACAATCAGTGAATTCAGAACTGTAAAATATGCATAAGTAATAAAACAGTGTTGGTGATACAGCGGTCAACGGCGTGCTCGGAACCGATGGTCCGAGGTTCGAGCTCCGCCACCGCCACCCAACTTTGGTGGCTTTGCGGCCGTCCGGCTTAACCTATCGGGGCCTTATGTGGTTCACCACTCCAAATCCCGTGGAGCTTAGATCATCGGATTCCATCACTGAACAGTAGGTATACGCGACTATGGAAGTCACCCTGTCTGGTGTTTAGCCCATAAAAATGTGTATGTCCGCGCATACAGAAAGCTCAGTTGGCATTTGCCAAATTGAGACATTTGTGGCGCCTTCGTGACAACCGGTTGTCTGTGAAGGGGTCGAGTATATGTTGCAGCAGTCTGGCCAGTCTTGCTCTATCGTGCAGAAACTTGTCCATTACGGGAAAAGGATAAGAATAGATTGTCAGTGTTCAAACACCGCTGTCTACGTCGCATTGCACGAGTCTGATGGGGGTAAACGGACGAGCAACGCTGAAGTTAGGCGTAGAGTTTTAGGCAGTCGCGGGCGTCCACTGGAGCATGACGGCACCGAAAACCGGCGCACGAAAGTGTACCGTTAAAGTTGTAGAAACTGAAACTGATACTGTGAGCAGGAGGAACAACTTTTTGAGTAATGTGCGTTTCCAAACCTCGATCTGTTGCTCTGATGATATCGGAGTCTCAGATCCTCAGCATCACAAGTGTTCCAGTAATGTACAAGGGCTGGCGGAGTGGACAAACGTGGACAAACAAATCAAATCATACACGATTCCCATCCTATACATACGGTTCATACCCGATGGCACTGGAAGACGGTACACCATTCAAGTCATTCGGTTACGTCTAACAGTTTTAGTCAGCAGACATTGGTGAATGGGGCCGTTCGTATTTTTGTGACATTGGTGGTGCGCTTGCCTCAATCGGTTGCAGCGTTTGGATGAACACATTGATCGATAATTCTGCGGTCGGATAATTCCAATACCATCATTAAGACTAGTGGGAGCGTGTTTCGGGTTCCCTTAAAGATAGCGTCAGGTGAAACTTCCGTGTATCAGTGGCTGATTGTGTCTCGTGGCACGTATTACGTACCTATTCCGACTGATTGCTGTTCCCTTCCATTTATCACCACAGCGGCTTTATGGAAATTTAACTTGAGTGTGTTCGGTGATTTAAACAGCGCATATTTCGCATGAACGGTATTCGTCACACCACAGACACCCATTTAATTAGACTTCGGTAATTCTTAGTCCCAGAGTCAGTATGCTACACGAACACTTCTTTGTTCCGGGACAACCGATCGGAACCGATAACCAATTAGGACGGTTGACAAGAATCCACTGAGCCAACTGTTTGATATACGCAATTCCATGTCCTCTTTCTTCCCTTAAATATAACCATTCTTGTTGCACAATAAGTGAAGGTGTGCTGAGAGCTCAAATCCGGCCGCAGTTTACTCAAATCAGATGACACGTGTGACTGGTCGGTCTCGCAATCAACTTCATCAGTACTGACAGGCCCGAATGATTATCGATCTGTATTTCACCCGTTGACCCTGTAAGTCGTGTGGACACAACCGCAGTCAACCCCGCTCCAGTTCAGTGACTTGTGACTTGCTCACAAAACTAGGGGCGTACAGTCATAACAGAAGGTTTGAAATGTTTTCATTCGAATCACGACCCCGGAGATCGGTGCTGAGCTGACCGAGGAGTTATGCGCGCAACAAGGCTATAAGGATGGATTGTGCCATATTGTGTAAAAGCTCAATGAAAAACCCGATCTGATCAGCTAGCTGCTCGGTGGTCAATTGGGCGATATACTTAGGTTGAATCAGTGAGATTCCGAGTTCGATCCCCAGTTGAGGTAATCAATGTGCATGTCTAATGAGAACTAGCTTGGTGCAAACAGGCACCCAGTGCTTCCCAGCTTTTTGGTTCACGTTTCAACTGTTATGTGCCCTACGAAATTGTCTGTTACGTTTTTCAATGAATAGATTCTTGTACGCTTCCAACTGTGTATTCTACTTTACTAACCGTGGAATTGCTCACGGGACGAGAAACATTATCGAAAGACCATCATTTGAGAATAATGAATCTAGACAATGGCGCGCGTGTGCGGTTATGACACTTACCTCCGACAATCAGGTAACAGTTTGGGAAAGCACATTTGGCCTGCATCAATTGTCGTGCGTGGCCAGAGTGGAACATATCATACGCACCGTCCGCGTAAATTCGAACCGGTCTTGGGGCTACAATGAGGGCACGGTTAGATGGGCAAATGAACTCGGAGCATAAAAGCAAGGCATCACTTTCTTCCAATGATGACGCAACCACTGGAATAGTTCAGTAAGAATAGCTACTATTATCAACAATAATAATAATATTTAAAAAATAGTGATGGAAGTGATACACAACAGCAATGGCTATCCGTGCACCACCACTTACCGTACCCATGCGAACCGTGTCTATTGATCGGTAGTGCTAGGTTCTAATAACTGAGCTAGTAACGCGTGGGTGGAGATAAAAAAACTGGACACAATATGGGCGGAATTCGATGAAGAGAAAACAGACACAATCTGGCACAAATCAGTCCTGAGAGTCCAGATGGATAGGGAATTGGAGAGAAACAGAGGCACGGGAACATAACGGTATCTACAGAAGCCGGAGTTCGTGGACTACACAAAGCAACAATTCAACCAAATTAGAATGACCCAGTTTGAAGGCAGAAATCTTTAATTATGCAGGTCATCCAGTGAATTGAGCACCGAAATCCCCTAATCAACAAATATCCGGTTCAAGAACAGTTCACATGCTCACGAGGTGATAGCCCTTACATATGCAGCAGTTTCGCACATGCAACCGTTTGCAACAGATTGAGGCCAAATGTGGCTGCCGTCACGTCACATGCGGGTATATATACTATTGGGAATCGTCCTCGGGGAGTTGACTAAAAACCGTGATTTCACACCAACGAAATAACCAGAGGCGTACGAAACATAAACAACTACACCTGGTCGAGGGAGTGGTCACCGGTTCGTTTGGGTTTGGAGGTGTATTGGGCACCTTGGACGTTTGACTCCGTCCATTGGACGTACGACCCAATGAAGTGGACAGCGGGCTCCAATGGATGGAGGTTTTTACACACCGCCTCGCTGACTTGCGGGTCAGGTTTTGGCTCACCGAAAGCGCGGGTTGTGAACTCCCTGCCCACGGCAACCTGGCAGTATTCCGCCCACAAGCAAATCATTGGACTTATTTAGTTTAGAAGGATTATTGTACTGTGATTTGTTTGGCACGCGATTTGACCGCAGATGTATGAAAATATATATATCCAAAAACCAACCGGCGTTACAAACAAGGTTATTATGACGAAATTACACTTCCTGGGTACAAGTATATGAATGAACTGAGAAAATATTACCGGATACACATGCCTGACGAGCGGCCAGAAACGCGAAACCGGTCGCGTGCTTCTAAGGGAATTTTGTTTGGTCCATCACATATTACTTATTATGATATTTATGATACATATATAGTGACGTGTACAAAGGAGGGAAAAAAGAAATAAAAACCGGTATATCTGAAGTAAGTGGGATAGAAAAAGCTTTTTAATGATAGACTTGAAATGAACAAAATTCACCCCGAAATAACAAGTACAAATAAACGGTAAGACTAACGGGAATTTGATTGCCTGTGCGGTCGGTATTTTAATTGAGCACCCATCCACACAAGTGCACACACGGCATATGCTTATTTTGTCATGGCAGCAATCATAAAAGTTGAATTCCTTGTTCCATTGAAAAATGCTTGTATGAATGTGATAGAAGTTTAACAGTGAATCGATACTGGCTGATTTCACAAACTGACTTCGGTGCTGGTGTTGGTGAGTCGTTTTACCGCCGTTAGCTCAATACATTAGGATCTGGAGTGCAACCATACCACTCCGTCGAAACTGAATGTTCGGTATACCGGACTCTGGGTCGACCCATTCTACTGTCTGTCGCACACACACACACACACACACACACACGAACATACGGAGACCAGGGTATGCAATAACCAACTTCAATTGATTATGGAATACTGATAACGGTGAGAGTGAGATAGCGCAATTGTGTCAGGTAAGCAAGAAAGAAACACACTAATTCATCGAGCCCAACATGACATTTTGCTGTTTGGCAGATTTGAAGTTTTCATGTCGATTGTGAAAAGTTCAGTAGCCTCGTAGCTCAGCTGGCAGAGCGTGCGCTGTACAAAAGTGTAGGCGGCGTCTATGCGAAGACTCGAAACTCACCGAGGCTGCTGAACTTTTCACAGTCCACATAAAAAATAATATTTTCTCAAAAAAGAGCAGCATTCCCCCTAAAAAAGCCATCTCGATCCCGTTCGCACAACAGTATATGTGCATCCAAGCTAGGCGAGAAGAAACTACGGGGTGATGTGGATTTAGTCAGGGTGATAATTCCCTCCAACTAATTGAAGTCAAACGGGCTTATTGGCCAAAGAAACACGTCGATGAGACCGAACGAAAAAGTGATAGGCTAACCGGGGATTCAAAAGTCACATGAACAACCATGGCAAGTGAACGACATATGACACAGTCAGTTGTACCACAGTAACAGTACAAACGGTCAATCTCAGGGTTCAACTGTTCGCAACCACAGTCAGTTGAAGTCATGGAACAGCAACAGCTTCGGCAAACTGGAACAGACGACAAACGCGTTCGGATATTAGACGGAAGCGTAGCGTTTCGCATACATACACATACACACAACGAGGGAGAGTGAAAGAGCCCCACTGTGTACGAGTGTTGTAAATTAAACGAGATTTTCGAATTGCCCACACCCAGATTTAAGAGAAAAACTTGTGATAGGGAAATTTTTAATAAGCAATGAGATTTTCTCAGTATAATATGCGCGTTCTCTTTGGGTAGTATATAGCACAGAAGCGACTGTTCCGCGACTAAATCACGTCCGAAGGTCGTCATCGTCGTGAAAGAGAAATGAAGCCTTGAAAGAACAGGATTTGTATTAGTTTGTTTAGCATTGAATCGTATGTACATCGAGGGATGCCTCGGGCGTCGGGGCAACTCTATGGGAGCTTCTGTCTGGACGGAGAAGAACCGACAATTTTCTATCTCCTCTGGTTACAATTCTCTACCGTCCGTTTTCCATTCCCCAGAAAACAACAAACTTGTTTCTCCGACTGAGGTTCTCAAAGTTTTGAAGCAACTTAAGTCAAACAAGGCCCATGGATCGGATTCATTAGCCCTTATTTTATTAAAAACCTGTGCCGAACACCTTGCAACAACCATTGCAGAGTTGCCTAAATTGTGTATACCCTCCGGAACAAACCCGGCAAAGACTCATTCCCAAGAAAGGTTTTTGAAAATGTCGACCGAATCCATGCACCTCAGCCCTGTTGAACCTTTTGACTACTTCCCATGATATCCTTGAACCTCTTCCGTTTGCTTATAAGCAATCGCTTTCCACTGTTGGCGCTTTCGCGTCCATTCTGTGGCCTCAGTTTTAGATAAGAGTGCTGAAATTGTTCGCCTTATTTTTCTGGACTATGCCAACGCCTTTGGTTCGCTTGACCGTGGCATTCTCATTCAACGTCTTGCTGACTGCAGCTCAGGATCCGACGTGTTCTTGAAAACTGCTTCTCTGTTAGGACACAATTTACCTAATGCAATGGTAAAATGTCGTCTTCTTTTGATGTTGACTCTGGGTTATTTCAAGGCGCCGATATGCTGACGATGTACTGACTGGGTGCACCTCCAATACTGACTAAGCTTTCCAGTTTGAACGATGGTTTAAGTTGGTCTCCACCTGGATCACTCTTGCTTCATGTTTCCAAATGAGTTAACATTCTCTTCACCCTTAAATCTGGCTCCCGTTATCATACTACCAATAATGATTTACCGGACCGTGTCGTTAACAGTCACAGCATTCCCAAAGCTGAATCTGTTGACTACCTCGGAATCGTTCTATCCCACAACCTCTCTTGATCTAGAAATGTAGACAACATTAACGGGGTTCGCAAACTTTCTTTTTATGCTTTCAGGCTTAGGAATCTTGCTGTTCCCTGAAACGTGATTTCCAAATTCGTGGAAGCATGGTAGCATCCTCCCTCATTGGCTGTACTGTCCTCCAGTATTAATATAATTAAAATTACTTATAATATTAATAATTATTTCCAGATTCGTAGAACTCCTATCCCGATGTAATGTCATAAATAGATATGTCCTGGTTGATTTTAATGTGTGCAAACATATCGACGCATGTGAGAGAATAGCGGACAGAATCTTGAACAACGAAGATCACTGCTTGCACAACGAACTTTAATTCATGTTAAACCCCCGTACCCGGTCACAGTATGGGCTCCTTCCCGCACGAACCGTCACATACAGAAACAGCATCCTCCCTTCTCTTACTCGTTTTCTGGTAAATCGGGTACCAATTATTACAGGTCTGGTTGAACACCTTATGAATTAGTTTAATCATTCATTTTAATCTATCACTATCACTTGCTTGTTTGTTATCCTTATTATTTACCCTATTCACACTCTGGTGCGATACTCCCTCCCTCCCTCCCGCACCCACTTCTAATGTATTATCGTGAAAAATCGAGGAAAATTCACCCGTCGGATACATAAAGCTTACTTTGACTTGACTTGACTAGATTAGCAAATCTGGGGACGGTCACGTTCGATTCCAAAACAACGTAAACG